GATGATACATTCGTACAAACTAAAATGTAAATATGCAGAATGGTAGAAAACTCTACAGGCTTTCAGAATATGTAATTATTATTAAAAAATGTGCTTTTATAGTGCCCATATCTTCGAAAAATGGACTCTAACTATTTTTTTCCAGGCCTATATGTCGATACTAAGGAGCTCAGTACTGGTCAAGGTCCTTGTATTTGAAGGTAAATCATTGTTTCTTATAGAAAACAGGAATCTGTTTGACATACTGATTCCTTCTTAAAAAATAGCATATGCTCTTACTGATAGATGCAAGTATTGATTCATCTGATATTTTCAGTACACATCCATTTCATAGTCAGCAAGCATGTGGAAGCTTTGGCTCATTTGCCGCTGCTTTAATTAATAAAAATTGAAAGACTGAATTCGCATACTTTTCATTGTAAATCATATGATACTGATGTACTGAAAGTAATTTTTCTAAAGATGTTGATATCTGATATCTGTATTTCACTAACGGAAATAAAGTCGTTTTTTTTGTTTGAATGCGTTCTTTGCATAGAATCGTTGATGCTCGAAATCGACACAGAGAGTTGATTGCGAACTGATATAGTTGACTTTGTATCAAGGGGGAAACAGCGGAGACTTCACGACTGAAGTCTCATGAAGTCTTGAAAGTCTTTCGAAGTCTTTTGAAGTCTCTTGAAGTCTTCTGGAAGCTTTGAAATGCATTTCGTGCATGAAAATTCACAAGAAACCAATGAAATTGTCTTGTTTTCGACGATCTTATTTTAGTAGAAAGGTGAACTTTTTATTGTTTTTTTTAATTCACTGGAAAAAATTCAAGCTTGTTTGATCTTAGAAAACATGATAATTAATAAGTGAATGCTTTTTGAATGAAGTGGTTGATTTTTATACGAAATTTTCCATCTATCCAAATCAATCTGATGAAGATTTTCAATTCTTTTTGTTTGTTTCTATCACTCGTGATAATCTATCAGCCGATTAACGGCTAACTTTGTCGGTCAATAACCAACAAGCCGTTTGCTTGTGTACAGGGTGTGAGTGTAATCTCAAGCACTTAAAATGTCTGCGATACGTACAATCATATATTCAACATTACTCGTGTCATCGTAAAATATTCTAGATATAGATATGTTGCGAGAAATAATTCTCCGAAACAAGAAACCTTTTTGTAATCTCTATATGATAGGGGTGTCAATTTATATTTACTTTTCATGTAATTTACGCGTAAATTACATGAAAAGTAAATATAAATTGACACCCCTAACTTCAACATTTTTCGGTTGAATGAGCATAGTTTCGAGAATATTTGCATATAAAAAAAATCTTTTGGGACCAATTAATTTTCAATATCATTCTGTTCCTAGTGCTCGGAAGACGCCAGTTACTCCGTTATGAATGAGTGTCAGTTTATAATATTTACTTATCATTTAATTTACGCGTAAATTAAATGATAAGTAATTTGTATTTATTATAAAGTACATGGTAAATGACACCCTTACTTAATGATAAGCTTTTTTGCATGTTATAAAGGTTTCATTTAATTTCTATAAGTTTTTTTTGATACGCATGGAATCTGCCTCTTGAAGTCTTTTGAAGTCTTTTGAAGTCTTCAGAAGTCTTCTGGAGTCTTGTGAAGTCCTATGAAGTCTTTTGAAGTCTTGTGAAAATATGAAGTCACTGCGGCTGAAGTCCGTTGAAGTCTCTTGAAGTCTTGAAGTCCGCTGTTTCCCCCTTGTAAATGGCTAAAAAAAAAAGGTGGTGCGAGACTTTCGACGTCGACGATACTTGTTCAAATAAATTGTTTTGAACTTTTTCTCTACATTTAAGTGCTGGCAGTCAGCGTTGGTTTTAGAAAGCCATCGCGAGTGATCATGCAAAACATTCTTTCAAGAATTGTCTTTAATCTCAAAGATTTACAAAAACCAAGCTTGTATCAAGTTTCCATGTTTTCATATCAAATGTTACGAGTTTATCTTATCGGAATTTGTAATGACAAGCCAGCAAATTCTCTTGTTCAGTATCAACCTGAACCAAACGCATTGCACGGTTGTTCGAAATGCGAAATTGCCGGTGTCTTTTTTTCTTTTGTTCGATAATTAAATTATCTTGAACTTGCTTTAGGATGGACAACACCAGCTAAAATTCATGCAACACCAGTTCTATCGAAAAGAATAACAACTACGTATGTCCGAATATTTCCAACTTCAACAGGTCAACAACCACAAATTCGCTCTAATGCCAGATGGCATGAAATTAGTCATGCTCTACAGAATGGACATACATTTTTGACTAAGGACAACAAAATTCATTCATTTGGTTATTTAGGAGAATGTGAATTAACAAACTTAGCATTTATTGACCGTGGTACATCTTTTATGTGTGACACTTTGCATTCAATATACCATGGAGCCTTCGTACGTACCAAGATTTTTTAAATAGATTGTCTTATGTTTACTAATCAATAAAGTAGAAGAAGTTATTACAATTATGGACAGAAACAAAGAAACATCCTTGGTCGCTTGCTAGCTTTCTTCCTCTAATAAATGCTGATCTTGTTAATATATGTTATCCTAGCACAACAACTAGGGCTCCACGAAGTGTAATGAAATGTTCAAAATTAAAAGCGAATCAATGTCGTGTTTTACTATTGATCGGTTATCCAATTTTTAAAAACTATCTACCAGACGTGTATTATCATCACTTAAAAATGTCAGCATTTGGTATTACTATTGGAGAATCGAGTAATATTTCATCAAAAGATATAAAAGACATGGAATTTTTATTATCTAATTTTGTTGATGATTTTCCTTATCATGAACGATACATAGTGCAAAACATTCATACAGTGAAACATTTTGCAAGAACAGTAAACGACTATGGCCCTTTGTTTAACTACAGTACCTTTAATTACGAAAGTATAATTGGTAGGATTCAATCTCGATTACATATTTCATTTTACTTTTCCGTATCTTTCACTCATTTACAGGATATTTGTCAGCATCTGTTCATGGAACAAAACGACTGGCTAGTGAATTAATATCGAATCTTCAATTGTTTAAACAAGCTTACCACGCATCGAAAAATCATTGTTTTATGCCGACTCTTTTACCATTTATGAAATATCTGGAAAATGGAAATGAGTATTGTTGTAAACAACAATTATCAAACGAACCTGTTTCTAAAGATGATTTAATTTTATTGTACCGATCCATTTCGAAGAACCACTATAAAGTCTATGAAATCGAGTAAATCATAAGCTGCTATACAGCATAATCAAACATAGCTGATCAAATTTAGTTATCTATGAGCAAAGCTGTTATATATTTGTTTCATTATTTTAGTTGTATGTGAGCACTTTAGACTATCAACCAAAAAAAGCTCAAAATCGAAAACATTTTCAGATTGTTATATGGTTTATCAACAGGGTTGCCAAATCCAAATTTTAGAAATTAGTAGATTTTTTTCTAGAAAATCAGGAGAAAAATCAAGAGAGAATCAGAAGACTTTTCCAAAAAGTTCGGAGAAAAATCAGAAGATTTTTTGAAATCAGGGCAAACAGAAAAGTGCCAGACAGTTTTCTCTTGTAGAGGCAATATTGTCACTGTTAATTTACAAACTTTTGTGACTTTTCTCTATCAAATGAGTAGGGAAATAATTATCTCACAAGTGAAATAAAGAATAGAGACGGGTAATCATGAATATGTCTCCATATCTCAAATTAAAAATCTTGAAACAAAAAATCTCGAATAAATCTATGTCTGTGTACCTGCCTACTTTGCTCATAATACAATCTCGGGTCTGTCGTTTCGGCCGCCGGAACAGTCAAAAACGGATCGAAAAGACGCTGAAAAACTATGGAACTGAGCGGTTTCATAATGCTTCGGCGTGTTTCTTACGCTGGATTCAGATCGACTTTCTCTAGAAAATCGCTGATTTCTCAACCGGTCCCAATGGAATCACATTGGAACTTGTTAGGCAAAAAATTGATCAGATCTGCTACCGACCGACGTGCCGAAAACCCATCGAAATCGGACGAACATGAATGACGTGAGTTTCCCAGTGTTCTGACATCCTACTCCGCCTCTTTTTCCTCGTTTCTTACGAAGAAAAAGTAAGCTGTTAGCGAAAACATCCATGAATATATTGATTAATGTTACCATATCATACAAGAAGATCACATAACACAAACTGATGTGCCGATCAGTCGAGGTGTATAGCGAAGGAGGCTAAATTATATGATTTTAGTGATCAACTTCAGCGATGTTATATATCCCTAATTGGGACCCAATTTTTTTGGCTCTCTGGT